TGTTCTCATAAATATTCTCATTCTTTTTGTTCTTAAGCTTGTGCACTAATAATTGGTATCTAAAGTTTTGGTTCGGATCCATGGGGAAACACGAGTGAAACAGTGAGGCGTTGTGTGATTGATTTTGTTTCTTAAATTCGTGTTTGAATCTTGAATAAAATCATAACAGAATCACATTTTCTGATATTGCGGGATTGGGAAACACTGTGTTTAGTGAGATCTGAGAGTTTGTACAAGGTTGAAGATGAACGGAAACGGTAATCTGAGCACCAAACTTTCATTTTTTGATGGCAAGAACTAGAATAGATGGATAATACACATGCGCATGTTATTTGATGCTCAAGATGTTCTTGAGCTTGTTACCGAAGGTTACGTTCGGGTTGCAGCAGATGCTACGGAAGAATAGAGAACCGCACAAAGAGACAAAAGAAAGAAAGATCAGAAGACTTTGGTCTATATTCATCAGTGTGTGGATGTGAATGTGTTTGAGAAAGTCGCTAATTCAACGACGAATAAGGCTGCGTGGGACACATTGGTTAGGTGTTACGATGGTGACGCATCAGTGAAGAAGGTGAAGCTTCAGTTCCTGCGAAAGCAATATAAGAATCTCAACATGAAGAACAACGAGAAGATTTCTGAGTACATCTCCAGAGTGATTTTGATCACTAATGAGATGAAAGGTTGTGGAGAAACCCTTTATGAACAAGTAATCATTGAGAATATATTGAGGTCCCTTACTCCTCAATTTGATTATATTGTTGTAGCAATTGAACATTCTAAAGATCTGGACACCATAAGAATAGAAAAGTTGCAAAATAGTCTAGAGGCGCAGGAGTTGCGTCTGACTGAAAGAACTTCTGAGAGGGAAGTTGAGCAGGCTCTGAAGGTTTCTTTTGTCAAAAAGGACCAGAAGCATTCTTGGTCAGAAACCAAGAATAGACGTGGTGATAGATTCTAGAAGTCAGAAACTTCCACTTCTGATGAGAAGAAACATCATAAAGGAATGGAGAAGTTTGACAAGAAGAAAGTTCAATGTTACTGTTGTAAGTAGTTTGGCCATTTTGCTAAAGATTGTTGGTCAAACAAGGAAAAGAAATCAGAAGAAGCAAATATAATCAGAGGAGATTCTGATGATGAACATGTGCTATTGATGGCTTTTGAGGATGATGAAAGGTGTTTTGTAAACTGGTGGTATATGCACACTGGTTGCTCAAATCACTTGATTGGAAACAAACAATGATTGATAGATTTTTATTCCAGAAGGAGGACAAAGATCAGATGTGCTGATGATAAGTACCTTAATGCAGAAGGTATAAGAAATGTCAAAGTTAAAGTGAAGAATGGGAAAACATTTCCGATCAAAGATGTTTGGTATGTTCCTGGAATCAAGAGCAATTTGATGAGTGTGGGTCAACTCATTAAGAAAGGTTTCTTAGTGATTATGAAGAACAATCTCTTGAAATTGTATGATTCCAATCAGAAGTTGATTATGCAATCTGAGCAGAGAAGCAACAAAACACTCAATGTGAATGTAGAAACATATGAAACAGAGTGTCTTAGTGCAGAAGGCGCTGAAGGTGATGCAAGTTGTGGCGCAAGAGGCTGGGGCATCTAAACTACAAGAGTTTGGGGTGTCTGAGTTCTAAGAAGCTCGTGTGTGACATTCCAAAGATTGTGAAGCCTGAGAAGTCATGTGAGTTATGCATGAAAGGAAAGCAACCCATATTTCCATTTGTGTCAGAAGTAGCCCAAAGAGCAAAACATGATTTGGGAGTAGTGCATTCTGACGTGTGTGGACCATTTCCAGAACCTTCACTTGGAGGAAATAGGTATTTTGTGTCTTTTGTTGATGAGTTCACAAAAATGACGTGGGTAACACTCATTAAATTTAAACATGAGGTGTTTACCGAGTTCCAGAAGTTCAAGGTGAAGACTGAGAAACAAAGTGGTCAAAAACTAAAGATCCTCAGAACGGATGGTGGAGGTGAGTATAACTCTACAGAATTCCAGAAGTTATTATATGACGAAAATGTAATTGAGCATGAGGTTACTGCTCTTTATACTCCTCAACACAACGATCTTGTTGAAAGAAAAAATCGTACTTTGCTTGATATGACGAGAAGTAGCTACCTCATACTTTGTGGGGAGAATTTGTGGCCACTTCAGCGTGTGTGCTCAACAGGTGTCCAATGAAGAAGCTGAAGAAAATTGTTCCTTTAGAAAAGTGGACTGGAGACAAACAAAGTGTTAGACATCTGAAAGTGTTTGGTTCTGTATGTTACAAACATGTCCCAGAAACCAGAAGACAGAAGCTGAATGATATAAGCAAAGTGATATTACTGGTGGACTACCACAGTACAGGTGCGTACAAGCTTTATTGTCCAAAAACTAATAAAGTTGAAGTCAACAGAGACGTCATTGTAAAATAGTCAGGAGCATGGAATTGGAGCAAGTCTCAATCCATTTCTGGTGTAATACTAACACTAGAGGTAATTTTTAAAGATACTTAAGAAGGTTCTGAAGATAAGTCAGAGTCAGAAGATGATTCTGGAGACTCTGAATATGAGTCAGATGGTGAATCTGGTTCTGATCCAGATTTTGATGATGGTCCAAAATTTGGTAGTGATCATGTTTTTGAAGATGGTACTTCTAAAGGTAGTGGTTATGGACTAAGTCCTGAAGCTAACTTTGTTCCAAGTTTTGTAGAAGATTCAGAACAAGTTCAGAGGCCACAAAGAGTCACACAAATATCAAGATGGTTTGCAGAGTTTGACATGTTGCAAGACACTGAAGTAGATTTCGAAGGAGAAGTTGTTCAGTGTGCCATGTTAGTAGATTCTGAACCAGTGGGTATTGAATACGCTCTTAAGAAGAAAGTTTGGTTGAATGTCATGAAAGAAGAACTAGAGGCTATAGAAAGAAACAACACTTGGGAGTTGACTAAGCTTCCAAATGAGAAAAAAGCCATCAGCGTTAGATGGATTTTCAAGGTAAAATTTAAGCTAGATGGATCAATTGGCAAGCACAAAGCAAGGCTAGTGGCTAGGAATTTTCTTCAGAAACCCGGGCTAGATTACTTTGAGGTGTTTGCACTTGTAGCCAGACATGAAACAATCAGATTGGTGATTGTTATAACTACAAATAGAAATTGCCCTCTGATACATCTGGATGTGAAGTCTGCATTTCTGAGCAGTCCGTTACAAGAAGAGGTATACATGTCACAACCTCCTGAATTTGTGAAAAAGAATCAGGAAGGAATGGTGCAAGTTACATAAAGCTCTGTATGGATTGAATCAAGCGTCCAAAACTTGGAACTTGAAGATTGATTCATTTTTCAAGAAGCATGGATTTTAGAAATGTGAGATGAAACATGGCGTTTATGTACAGCATTTTGGAGGCAATATGATTCTGATGTGTCTCTATGTTGATGATATATTGCTGACAGGTAGTTGTTTTGAAGAGATAATCAAGTTCAAGAAGATTTTGATGAATGAGTTTGAAGTAACTGACCTAGGAAAACTGATATACTTTCTAGGAATGGAGGTATTGTAGTCTGAAAATGGTATAATTTTACATCAACTGAAGTATGAACTTGAACTTTTGAAAGATTTAAGCTGCAGAATTGTAAGGCTATTGTCACACCATCAGAAACCAATCATAAATTGGATTCTGATTCTGAGGGTGTGGATACTACAACCTTTAAACAGTTTGGTTGATTGTCTAAGGTATTTGTGTAATTCCAAACCTGATATTTGCTATGCAGTTGAAATGGTTAGTAGGTTCATGAGTAAACCTAAGTGGTCCCATTACCAAGTTGCTGTCAGAATTCAGAAATATATCAAGAGAACTCTGAAGTATGGAGTACTATTCCCTTCTGAAAGTAAGACAAATTCAGAGTTGATGAGTTATTCTAATTCTGTTTGGTGTGGAGATATAGTTGATAGAAGAAGTATTATTTCTTGATATTCCAAGAAACAATTTGTTGTTATTCTATCAACTTGTGAAGTTGAGTACATTGCAAGTGTTGTAGCTGTATGTCAAATTGTGTGACTTCTGAATTTATTACAGGATCTGAAGATCAAGATAGATAAGCCTCTGAAACTGATGATTGATAACAAGTTTGTAATCAATCTCGTCAAGAACCCAGTATTACATGGGAGAAACAAACATATTCAGACAAAGTATCACTTTCTAAGAAGGCAAGTCCAAAACGAAGTACAAGAAGTTGTACACTGTAGCACCCAAAAGCAGTTGACAGATGTTCTGACAAAGGCGATTAAGACGGATCAATTTCTCCACTTAAAGGATGAAATTGGTGTTGTTAGTTTTTAATTAAGAAATTCTAAATTAAGGAGTGGTATTGTAGGATAATTTAGTATTTTAATATGTTGCCTATGCGACCGTAGTTTGTGTGTATAAATAGACTAATAGTAGTTGTCATTCTAATTAATTATTTCTTACAACTTTACTATCGTCATTCCTTTTATTCTCATAAATATTCTCATTATTTTTGTTCTTAACCTTGTACACTACCGGTTTGCGACTCACTCTGTCCATTTTTGCCAACTGAATTGCTACACAAGTACAAACGATTTTGGAAAAAATTTGACCAAAAGAACCAAGTTGGCTAAAGGAATAATTTTTGGAAACTCAACACTAACATAGGTTAGATAAGGGATTAAAATGAAACCTTAATTAATCCTAAAATTATATATAACAAACCACTGAAAACTACTAACATATTGTTATTAATGCACAAAAATAAGCTGCCTGGAGTATATGCATGGCCAGTAAAGTAAAATATGTAGACAATGTATCAAACCATTTTTCAAGACCATAGAGATACAGTACTCCATTATTTTATTTTCCTTTTGGTACAATGTACTCCATTATTTAAAGTAGCATCAAGAAGCACGAAGAGATATGGATCAAGTGACTTTTTAATGTTGGCGCAAAGATTTTGCAAGCATGGAACATTTTGCACCTTGGTTATCTTGCAATCATTGCAATACTTTGTCAGCAAAGGGGAAGGTAGGAGACACATCAACAGGTACCTATGGTACAGACAATTAGTTTTTTCAATACTTTAAATTCACAGTCTGTAGTTACTCAATGTTTCTGTGGTTAATACCTGAATATTCTCTAACTTTTCCAGAGCAACTTTCAATGGTTCTGTCATCACACCGTATTTCTTAAGAAACAAGCCAGCAGCCTCTTTATCACCTTGGGCTTGTATGGTGAGTATCTCCCTGCTCAGGCCTTCAACTGCACCTTCAATCTATAGAAAGAAAAATACAATTTACATCGCTTATCTTAGGGTCAAATAGATTCAAATTGAAGCAATAAATACCTTGGAAAAATCAACAGAAAATGTATCTTCAGAATACAAGACAAAGGCTCCTTTCTCATATAACCAGTTGAACTGCAATGCTTGTCCTTTTCTGACAATATGCGGTAGAATTAGATGCTAAATAACAAATATGAACACCAAATGAAAGAAGAATGTGTAGCTAGCAACACACCCGTGAGCTTCCTCTAAGCCAAAACGTACTGAGCGAAAGCATCCAGCAAGAAAAGAAACATACATGGACTTCAATAAGCTTTCGGAAAGCATGTCCTGAAGAAATCATACAGATAATCTATGACATTAACACAGTTCTAAGCAACGGAACAATAAACTATCTAGAAAATGTAATTCTTGAGAGATTAAGCATAATAGCTAACCTGAGAGATTAAGAACCTCAATGCCCAGAGGCCAACAATATCAGCTTTTGCTTCTTCCAGAGCTGAGTGAAATTCTTGCAATTCCTGTATCAAAAGATTAGATATTGTAATTGATATTATATCAAACATAATCGTGAGGTACCAAACAATTTAATATGCTAGGTGCGTATTAAATAATTTCACATATGTAGTAGGTACAGTATCAGTAGCAGTAGAGTATCAAAAAAGATATTTCGGATGTTCCGGAAATCAAAGATGAAATACAGTATCCCAAAAAACTCTCAACCAGCGGCGGGTATGGCAGATATGCAGAAATAAGGGTTGGTTCACATGAAGCTCTAAATATCAGGTTAAGAAGACAGCGGAATAAGAATTGCGTTCAAAAGATTTAATTAAGAGTCGCAACCCTAACCTTACAAGCCGGTTTCGTAGAAAGCCGGTTCCATGTGCATATTCTAATAGTGATAAATGTGAGGGGTATATTGGAAAAATTCAAGTGTCATATTGTAAAGAGATAAGGTATGAGTCGAGTTATGTCTAACCAAAATTTTAAGCTATACTAATTATTGCAATTATATGATATAATTTGTCTATTTATATTTTACAAATATTGCAACATCACAAAATTCTTGTGTTTCTCACTCACATTACTATGTGTCTCTCACTCACATTCTTTCACCTCACTTATTAATTCTTGTGTTTTCTCTAACTTTTCCAATGGTCCTACATCACAAAATTTAGTCCTTGAAAGAATGTGATGTTACAACCAGAACCGAAAACGAGCTTAAAATGTTACCATTATCAGTGTCCGTAGTGGCAGAATCTCATTAACTTGGTGGTGATGAAGCATTAGTGAGTCATACTAACAGTGTCACTATATCTTGTGACTTACCAGTCTCACAGTCGACTCTTTGCCATTTGGAAGTGTTATTGTATGAGGTCCAATTCCATGGCAGCATTCATGGCAAATTGTATGAGTAAAAAACGATTCAAAATCTACGAGTTCTTGTTGTTCGTCGGCAACACAGGCACTGGCTATAGGTAAAAGAATATGATTGAACCTGATAAGAAAAGGCAGATTTCCCCAACATAATATATCCACTTAAAAAGAAAATCTTACAGAAGAGACTCATTCATGATGGAGTTAAAGTTTGAAGAAACTAAAGCATTAAGGGTTGGAAAGTTACTTAGCCTCTGAAACATTCTTAAGCATGACCATCGATGTTCCCCTGTCTTTTACAATGCGCTCATCATTTGGTAGATTGAAAGCAAGAGTTTGTGGTCCCTTGACATCCTGAAATAATTCACTAATGTAAAATTTCCAGTTTAGTAATTTCAAGCATGAAGAAATGCATTATCGGTCAGAAATGCCAGCGAATTATATTAGAAAGGGCATAGGGAAAATTGGGTCCATCATAACTACTGCAGAAGCTAGATGTCAGATGCAATAGATTGAAATGTTTCTCCACTCTTTTTGTCGTTATGTATTATATTCATTTTTCATTCATTGAGCATCTGTTTATATTTCAAAAGCACTCCTGTGAAGCCAAAAGTCTCATCCAACTATATCATGTAATACACACACAGCTCATGCACACAACTCACCCCTGAATTATATAGAAGTTGGATGACACGTATAGGTGCTGCATTCACATATTTTGATTTGTATGCATTATCCATTGGAAGATTTTGCTCCAGAAGCTTCAATAGCAGAAATATTGTGATGTCATTCACACTAAATTTCAAATAAAATTACAAAATTCATTTCAATTAAAAGGCTTGAGGCGTACTACCTGCAGATTATCACCAAAAAGTTTCAATTGAGCTGTTGCTTCATCGTCGCTGATTCCAATATATGCTTCAAAGGTAGCCTTAAACAAACAATGCAATTACCAAGTTAGATAGCCAAATGTCTTAGTATAAGAGTTGGGCAACGAAAGGGACTTTCACAACTTTCACACTTTCATTTTACAAAAGTCTTTCCAAATGAGAGAATGTTGACAAGTTTCCAGGGAATTTCATCTGGCTAGAACATAAATGATAGTTGTTTATTTATAGATTTCAAACCAGATCGTTGCATTTGCATCCATATATAATAAATGATTATGGACATAGAACAAGCTTAGTCATACCGATCCTGAGTCATTAAGCTCGATAGCAAGACAAAATCACTTTATGCTTCGATTTAGACACTTGACACAAAATCTTTTGGATGTTCAGCTGACACTGGCAAATGTTATTATTGTCTCTATTGAATGTATAAGCAAATGTATAAGTAGCTTTACTGTTATTCCCTTGACTGGCAACTGTAAGTTACAGTATGCCCTAACCTGTAATAGCAGGTTATCCTTGATGCTGTATATAAAGCATCAAGGAGCCTTTTTGTAATAACTGAAAAAATCAGAAAACAGAATAACAGAATTCTGTTATAGATGAATACTCTCTTCTTCTCATTCTTCTTTTCTAATATGGTATCAGACTGCTGAGTCGATCCATGGCTTCGCCTGCTTCGCAATCGCCTCCGCCTTCTGCTATGGTCTCGCCTAGTCTGGCTGAACAAACGCCGTCGCCGGCGCCGATAATGGAGGATTCTCGTCGCCTGCACTTCTCGCTCAAGATTTCGCAGAAGCTGGATGAAAAGAACTTCCATCTCTGGCGTCAACAGGTAGAACCTTACATTAACGCGCACGATCTCACTGATCTGGTAGTTTGCGCTCGTGTTCCAGCGAAATTCGTTGATGATGTTGCTCGTCGTTCTGGCTCTATCAATCCAGCGTACTCTCGCTGGATTCAGAAGGACCAAATGTTGCTGTCCTGGCTTCAATCAACACTTTCCAGTGAAATCCTCTCACGCGTGCTTGGCTGTCACCATTCTCATGAACTATGGGATCGCCTCTTCAGCTATTTTCAGAAACAGACTCGTGCTAGGGCACGCCAACTGCGTGTTGAAATGCGTGCGCTCACACTGGATACTCTTTCTGTTCAAGACTACTTGCTGAAGATTCGCACCATTGTTGATGCGCTTGCGTCCATTGGTGATCCTATTCCTGTGGCACATCATATTGATGTAATTCTTGAGGGCTTACCTGCTGAATTTGCTCCAGTAGTGTCTGTTGTTGAAAGCAAATTTGGAATAATGGACATTTATGAGATTGAAATCCTTCTGGTTGCTCATGAACTGCGCTTGAACAAGTTCAAGAAGCAGCCAATTCCAGATCTGGTTTCCCTCAACCTAACACATGCTGTGGCTCAACCATCCACAACAGATGAATCTCCATCTCCTGTCATTGATTCTTCCTCTGCTCACAGTGGTCAGCCTAATCAAGTGCAGGATTATCAACCTTTTAGAGGGGGAAAAGGTCATCGTGGTGGTAGATTTGGCCGTAGCAGAGGTGGCAGATTCTCCAACTCTAATGTCCAGTGCCAAGTCTGCTCCAAGCCTGGTCATTCTGCCCTGCAGTGCTGGCATAGGTTCAACTATCAGTTTTAAGCTGCTGGTGCAAACTATGTGCAACCTCCTTGGCAGGGTGCTCATGCCTACTACACACAAGCACCTTCTCAAGCCTCTCCTTATGTATGGACCAGGCCTCCTACTGTGCCTTCTTACTCTTCTGTTGTTCCACCTCCTCCAAGCACCTTTGTGGCTAATGTTTCTCCATCTCCTTCTGACTCCTGGTTTCCTGATTCTGGCGCCTCATACCATGTCACTAGTGATGCAAAGAACTTACAACATGTGACTCCCTTTGAAGGCCATGATCAAATTTACATTGGTAATGGACAAGGTTTGACTATTCAGTCTGCTGGCTCAAGCTCTTTCCCTTCCCCTTTTCATCCTACCACACACCTCACTCTCAAGAACTTACTTCATGTTCCTGCTATCACTAAGAATCTGCTTAGTGTCAGTCAGTTCTCTAAGGATAACCATGTGTATTTTTTATTCTCAGCTGACAAGTGCCTTGTTAAATGTCAGGTGTCTAATGCCACTCTTCTTGAAGGTCATGTAGGAGCTGATGGACTCTATGAGTTTCCTTTTGTTGATGTGTCCCAACCTGCTAAGTCCTTTCTGCATTCTTCTAATTTCTCTTCCAATAATGCTGCACCTAGTGCTAATACTGTATCTTCTTCTACTAGCTTGCCTTACATGTGGCATCTTAGGTTAGGACATCCTAACAATCATGCCCTCAAACTTGTTTTACAAAACTGTAATGTTCAGTTCAGTAATAAAAATTGTGATATGTTCTGTTCTGCATGCTGTATGGGTAAATCTCACAGGTTACATGCTCCCACTTCACACACAGTTTACACGAAACCTCTTGAACTAATTTATACTGACCTATGGGGGCCCTCACCCAAGGCTTATGCATCTGGTTTTTTGTATTACATGTCCTTTGTGGATGCTTATTCCAGATTTACTTGGATCTATCTACTTAAAACTAAATCTGAAGCTGTTTCTGTGTTTCAAAAGTTTAAAGCATTGGTTGAATTGCAACTTGAGGCACGTATTAAAGCTGTTCAGTCTGACTGGGGGGGGTGAATTCAGGCCATTTACTAAGTATCTAACTGAGATGGGCATTCATCATCGTCTTATCTGTCCACACACACACCATCATAATGGTGTAATTGAAAGAAAACACAGGCACATAGTGGACTTAGGGCTTACTTTGCTTAGTCATGCTTCCCTTCCCCTTACATATTGGGACTATGCTTTCTCCACAGCTGTTTATCTTATAAACAGGCTGCCATCTGCTTCCATTCACTTTGAAGTTCCCTACACTCTTCTCTTTCATCAGCAACCTGATTACAAGTTTCTGAAAGTTTTTGGGTGTGCTTGTTTTCCTCTCTTGAGACCTTATCTTTCTCAGAAACTTAATTTCAGATCTCAAGAATGCCTCTTTCTTGGATATTCTACCTCTCACAAAGGTTATAGGTGTCTGGCTCCTACTGATAGGTTATACATCTCCAAGGATGTTCTCTTTAATGAGTCTAGGTTTCCTTATCTAGACTTATTTTCCAGATCCAGTGCTATTAGTAATACTTCCAGCCCCAGTACATCCTTGGCACCCCATCACTCTAGTCCTCTTTTGAGTGCTCTTACTCCTCACATCACTTCCTTACCATCTCTTGTCCCTAATTCTTCAGTTGAATCTCCTCCTGCCTCTCCCACTACCTCCTATGTTCCTACTCCCCTTGTTGTCCCTACTAGCCCTAAGGATTCATCCTCAGCTGGTAGGTCTGCCACTTCTTCACCAATTACTGCCAGCAACTCCCCAGGGCCACTTTCATCTTCCTCTAATCCTGCTGACTCCTCCTTCAGCTCATCTTCAAATACTGCTTCTGCATCTTCTGTTCCCCCTAATGCTATTCCAGTGCCTATTATCCCTCAAAACTCTCATCCTATGATTACTAGGGCCAAGTCTGGATTTTCTCAGCCTAGACTGGATCCTAGGGTGCTTCTCACTCACACTGAGCCTAAATCTGTTAAACAAGCTATTGCTGATGTGCATTGGAAGGGAGCCATGCAAGATGAATTTGATGCCTTACAGAAAAATGCCACATGGTCCCTTGTGCCTTTACCTCCTCATAAGAATGTTATTGGCTGCAAGTGGGTGTTCAGGCTCAAAGAAAATCCTGATGGCACCATCAACAGATACAAGGCCAGGTTGTTAGCTAAAGGTTTCCATCAGAGGCATGGGCTGGACCTTACTGAAACCTTTTCCCCTGTTGTAAAGCCTATTACTATCAGGGTTATTCTCACCATTGCCATTACCCACAGGTGGTCTATTCAGCAGTTGGATGTAAATAATGCCTTCCTTAATGGTTTCCTCACTGAAGAAGTTTACATGGAACAGCCTCCAGGGTTTGTTCACCCTGACTCTTCTCTGGTGTGTAAACTCAATAAGGCTTTGTATGGCCTGAAACAGGCTCCAAGGCAGTGGTTTGAGAGGCTGCAAACAACTCTTCTCAAGCTCAATTTTAAAGCCAGCAAGTGTGATCCCTCTCTCTTCACCTACTTCTCCAAAGGACACTCCCTTTATCTACTGGTTTATGTGGATGATATTATCCTCACATGTAGCTCTACTACTCTTCTCCAAGAGGTCATTCAAAAGCTTAACTCTGCTTTCTCTCTCAAGCACCTTGGGGATCTTGACTATTTTCTGGGCATTGAGGTTAAGCAGTCAGCTAATGGCTCTATGCTCCTCGCCCAAACTAAGTATCTCAGAGATTTGCTGCAGAAAACCAACATGTTGGAAGCTTGCTCTGTCAGCACTCCCATGCAGTCCACCTGCAAACTCACCAAAACTGGGTCTGCAGCCTTTTCTGATCCTTTTCTGTACAGGTCTGTGGTTGGGGCATTGCAGTATGCCACCATCACCAGACCAGATTTGACCTATGCTGTTAACAAAGTATGTCAGTTTATGTCTTACCCTCTTGATTCTCACTGGCAAGCTGTCAAAAGGATTCTCAGATATTTGAAAGGTACTCTACATCATGGTTTATCTCGCACTCCTCTGTCCTCTCAGGCTGTTCCCTCTCTTCATGTCTACTGTGATGCTGATTGGGCTTCAGATCCAGATGACAGGCGCAGTACATCTGGTGCTGCCATTTTCTTTGGAACTAATTTGGTTGCCTGGTGGTCCAAGAAGCAGCATGTTGTTGCTAGGTCCAGCACTGAATCTGAATACAGAAGTTTAGCTCAGGCTACAGCTGATCTTCTTTGGATACAAACACTTTTGCAGGAACTGTGTATTAAAACCAAGCCTCCTATTATTCTGTGTAATAATCAGTCAGCTGTACTGTTAGCTCATAATCCTGTTTTGCACTCCAGAACTAAGCATATGGAGATTGATCTTTTCTTTGTGAGGGAAAAGGTTCTGGCCAAACAAATTCAAGTGTTGCACATTCCTGGCACTGATCAGCTTGCTGATGTGTTGACCAAGCCCTTGCCTTCCACCTGATTCTTGGAGCTTATACACAAACTCAGGGTAGCTAGCTCCCCTCAGTTTGTGGGGGGGGGTATTGAATGTATAAGCAAATGTATAAGTAGCTTTACTGTTATTCCCTTGACTGGCAACTGTAAGTTATAGTATGCCCTAATCTGTAATAGCAGGTTACCCTTGATGTTGTATATAAAGCATCAAGGAGCCTTTTTGTAATAACTGAAAAAATCAGAAAACAGAATTCTGTTATAGATGAATACTCTCTTCTTCTCGTTCTTCTTTTCTAATAGTCTCAAATGATTTATTAGATATTTGAAATAAATATAAAAGTAACAAGGGTTTTTGAAAGATACCCAACACATGGTTGTCCAAGGATCTTCCTTGTAAGGACTTGGTAAACAAATTATGCATCGGTGCCATGAACAATAATGAAACTTCGAGAAAACAAGGTACACGCCCACAAGATTTATCAAAGACTACGAGTGTTTTTGTATCTGATCGTAAATACCTATGTTCTCGACAATTCTTAGCATTTTGTCTACTACAACAATCAGGCAATATATGATCTGAACATGGGCTTATCAGTAGGGGTAATTCTCACCCTACAAACTCGTCTTGTAGGGTTGAGTTAGACCCAACCACAGTTCTTAACAATTTCTATATTTTTAAATTTGACATTACATAAACGCAATCAACATTTTTATGTCCATTTTAACAAGTTAACTAACAGTTGGCCATTAATTACACAAAGCTTCGCTCTACTGTTATTTTTGTGAAGTATAGACATGTTCCAAAATAAATAAATAAAAAATTATTTAAGTTTGACATCGTAATGCTTTGGGGACTTCAATTGTTTATGCGGCATAAAGCCTGGTTTTCAGTAATCACCTTATATCCAAAAAGTTTGTCTTCGTAAGTTTCATATGGCCCTATTGTGATATCCAACTTAGAGTCCTGCATAGAGAAGAGAATACCAAATAATATCATTATTCAAAAATTGTATACAAAATAAAACTCATTACCTTAATTACACAAGCGCATTGTTGCGAAAAAAACACATTAACCAAGGATAAATGGAATGGTAAAAAGTTTGTTTGATTCTTTAGCTTTAGACTGGTTTATAAAGTGATAATACAATAATTATAATTAATTCTCTCTTTAATGGAGAATAAAAGAAAATAAATGAGAATAAATTGAAATAATAAAATAAGGAAATATAATATTTTTCCAACACCCCCTCAAGTTGGTGCATAGATATCTATCATGCCCAACTTGTCTATCAAATGCTCAAAGGTAGGTCTTGCCAAAATTTTGGTCAGAATATCCACAGTTTGCTGACTTGAAGTTACAAAAGGTAGACATATGATTCCAGCATCTAACTTCTTCTTTATGAAGTGTCGATCGATCTCAATATATTTGATTCTGTCATGTTGAACTGTGTTATAATTTCAATGGAATCTCAATTTTCATCTTAAGTTCTTCTAGGACTCTAAGGACCCATAATCCTTCACATACCTTGGGACATACATAGCTCTAAACTCGACTTTTGCACTACTTCTTGCTACAACTCCGTGTTTCTTGCTCCTCCGTGTCACAAGATTACCCCAAGCATAGGTACAATATCCAGAAGTTGATCTTCTATTTGTGACTGAACCTGCCCAATCAACATCGGTGAAGATAGACACATTTCTTTCACTAGTCTTCTTAAAAAATAAGCCTTTTCTAGAATTTCCCTTCAAATATCTCAGTATCCTAATGACAGCCTCAAGATGTTCCTCAAAAGGAGGATGCATAAACTGACTTACTACACTAAGTGAGAAAGCAATATAAGGTCGAGTGTGTGATAAATAAATCAGTTTCCCAACCAATCTCTGATATCTTCCAGTATCAACATGAACATTACCTTATCCCCAAAGTTTAACATTAGGATCCATAGGGGTATCTATAGCACGACATCCACTTATTCCTGTTTTTTTCAATAAGTCTAGAATGTATTTCGGCTGTGAAACCATAATACCATTCTTTGACCGAGCAATCTACATACCAAGAAAATATCTCATGAATCCCAAGTCCTTGATTGCAAAGTCTCCAGCCAATTTCTCTTTTACTCTTGTCATTTCCACTGTATCGTCTCCAGTAAGGACAATATCATCAACATAAACAATAAGGACAACAATTTTCCCATCGTGGGAGAACTTTGTGAACAAGGTGTGGTCAGCCTGTCCTTGAATATACCCTTGTTTCTTCATTGACTGAGTGAATTTTTCAAACCAAGCTCTAGGGGACTGCTTTAATACATACAAAGACTTATTTAGTTTGCATACATTTAATCCAAATTTGTTTTCAAAGCCAGGAGGAATGTCCATATATACTTCTTCTTCTAGATCATCGTTGAGAAAGACATTCTTAACATCTAACTGATGTAGGGGCCAATCCAGATTAACAGCAAGAGATAACAGAATTCTGACAGTGTTCAATTTTGCAACAGAAGCGAATGTCTATGAGTAATCTATACCATAGGTCTGAGTAAAGTTTTTAGCCGCCAAACACCCACTTGCATCCAACTTTCTTCTTGCCATCTCATAGTGTTAAACTCCAAATTTTATTCTTCTCAAGAGCTTTCATCTCCTCAAGTACAACTTCCTTCCACTTTGGAATTTCTACACTAGACAATTTTGAGGTGAAGGCAGACAGAGTTGAAGACAAATTTAAATATGATATAAAATTGGACATGAGGTGTTTAGTACAAGGTCTAACAGGTTTTCTAATGGCAACAGGATCATCTATATCAGGATACAAAATACGACTTTCAGAAACAGAGATGGACTTACCTTTCTTATTCTTAGGAGGTTGATCATTCCTCGATTCAGATTCCTGACAGTGTTGAGATGTGGACTTATCCCTTCCTTTGTGGTGCTTTTTCACAAAAACCTTCCATTTCCAAGTCTTGTTCCCTAATTCAAATTTGTTTTCTTGAAGTGTGACTCATTATTTTGTGACATTTCAATTAGATCTGTTGAAATATGAGACACTAAGAGACATTTGAATAAACTGTGTCTGAATAGCACAGTAGAAGATGCATTATATAGGAGAAAATACAAATCGTAGTATTAATTACATAGATATCCTATCCTATTCTAGAATACATTAAGGAATATTTTAGAAGTATTCTAGAGAATATTTTCTAGAGAATATTCTCTTTATATACATAGACATATAAAATTATCAACACTCCCCCTCAAACTTGAGCATATAAATCAAATGCACCAATCTTGTTACATATATAATTGGTTCTGGGGCTTCAAAGCGATTTTGTAATCATATCTGCCAATTGATCATTCGAGTTGACAAAGCTTGTGGTAATGTCGCCTGACTTGATCTTCTCTCTGATAAAGTGACAGTCTATCTCAATATGTTTGGTCCTCTCATGAAAGACCAGATTTGAACCAATCTGCAATGCAGTTTGATTATCAGAAATAAGTGTCATTGGTTTTGCTTCTTCGATTAGAAGTTCCTTGAGCAACTGCTTTAACCAAATAAGTTTACATGTTGCCATCGTCATGGCCCTATACTCTGCCTCAGCGCTTGATCTTGCAACTACATTTTGTTTCTTGCTTTTCCAGGATATAAGATTTCCTCCGGCAAGTACACAATACCCAAAGGTGGATCGTCTATCAATGGGTGACCCTGTCCAATCAGCATCGAAGTATCCAACTATCTGAGTATGTCCTTTGTCTTCATACATCAGATTTTTTTCCGGAGCACATGATCAGTGGTTTTTACACGGTTATTTACCGTTAAGTTCAGTTATCTTTTCTTTTAATTGCCGAGTGTTTTATTTTATTTTACTGTATTTTATGTTTTGGTTGTGTGTTTTAGTGTTTTAAGGGTCAGAGGAATAAAACAAGACAATTCAGGGCGAAAAAGTGCAAAAACTCAAAGTTTCGGAGAAAGTCAAAAATCCACCTACAGGAGGCCTGACACGGGTCGTGTCAGGATGGGCGAATGAAGAAAGATTGAAGTCAGGGGTAAAACACGGGCGGTCGTGTTGCCTAACACGGGCAGTGTTGCAACCCCTGGGACCTTATAAGAAGATTTGGGAGTTTGGGAGCCAACACGGACGGCCGTGTTGGCCTGTGACGCTGATTTCCTGATTTTTTCATATTTTTTTCATATGTTAAGCTGTAAGGATGTTTTGGGTACTTCCAACCGGCCTGGATGAATGGTGACTATTTAAATGAGTTTTCACAAGGAATAAATGAGACTTTTTTGGAGCGAAGAATAGTTTACACGACTGAAGATTGGAGAAGTCAAGGTTTTCGGAGAGCGGGAGATTTTCATGCGCGGAAACAATTGAAGATCAAAGTTCATCTCAATCCTTGTAAGGTCTATATTTTGTCTTCTGATTATTTTGAACAATATGAGTAGCTAAACCCCCCAATGCCAGAGGGATGTCCCTGATTTGAATCTGTAATGATTATGAATTTCCGAGTTCTTTAATAAAATTGTTTTCTTATTCAATTTAATCGTGCAATATTTTCACGCTTTTCTGATCGGACCAATTAGGATTGATCTACGGTTAACAACCAGCTGGACCGCAGTTGTTAGGGTTTTTGTATGATTAAGCTATAGTAGATATCACCTAAGACTATGGATACCCTATAGATACCAGATCACTCTTGATATAATAAAGGCTTGACTCTATCAGATATCTCTAAAGACTTAGGATTTAGGATGGATGGTTAAAGGTTTTCCCACTAAGGACTTAAGGGAAGATTAAAGGGCTGGTAGTTGAAGGATATGAACATGTTGAAGAGATCAGGGTTCAAGGTTGTTAGAGGGAAAATTATACACCATGCCCTAGCATGCTCCTTATATCTGTGAAAAAACCCTAATTTACATTCTACTTATTTTTTATTTCTGCTAAGTGACAATTCCTAAACCAAAACTCCAATTAAGTTTTTGTTTAATTGAACGTGAATTGAACTTGATAATTGCATGCAGTCCTTAGATCGACATTTGGGGAATCTCCCTGTTATTACAAGAGGCAAAATAGTACACTTGTTATTTTTCCCATCAGCACACTTGATGTATCTTAGAATCCGGACAACAGCATCCATGTGTTCCTGGCAAGGAGAATTTAAGAATTGGCTTACCACACTAATTGCAAAAGAAATGTCCGGACGAGTGACTGTGAGATAATTCAACTTTCTAACCAATCTCATATACCTTCTTGGATCAGATAAAGGCTCCCCCTAATTGGATAGCAGTTTGACAGTTGGATCTATAGGAGTATCAGTTGGTTTAGCATTCAACAACCTTGTTTCTTCCAAAATATCCATAGCAAATTTTCGCTGGGAAATCACCAAGCCATCTATAGATTGGGCCACCTCAATTCCTAAGAAGTAGCGGAGTTTACCAAGATCTTTTATCTGAAATTGATTCGAAAGATATTGTTTCAACTGGAGTATCCCTCTGCTGATCACTGTCAGTTATGACAATATCATCTACGTATACAATAAGATAGATACATCCTCGAGCAGAGTGACAATCACAGAATGGTCAGCTTCACTACGGACCATATTAAACTGTTATACTATAGTGCTGAATCTGCCAAACCAAGCTCTCGGAGATTGCTTAAGACCATAAAGAGACATGTGTAGCCTACAAACCATGTTCGAGGACTCCCCCTGAGCAACAAACTCAGGTGGTTGCTCCATATATACTTCCTCTTCAAGATTGTCATGTAAAAAGGCATTTTTGATGTCAAGTTGATGAAGAGGCCAATATCGAATGGAAGCAATGGCTAGAAGAAGTCTATCAGATGCCATCTTGGCTACAGACGAGAAGGTATCACTATATTTCAACCCAAAAATCTGAGTGTATCTTTTGGCTACCAAGCGAGCTTTAAACCGATCGATCTTACCATCTGGTCCAACCTTCACAGTATAAAGCCAACG